ACACACACACACACACAGACAGAGTAGAAATCGGGCAGAAGTTGGGAAGTAGAAAAATCAAGAAAAAGGAAGAAATTTTGTGCCGGGGGTGGTGGAGGAGAAGAAGGCAAAAAGAAGGAAGAAATTTTGTGCTGACTACTTGAAGCTTATTTATTTAATTCTTCAAGAGGTAAAGATTAAAATTTTATGGAATGGTTATGGTAAATTTTCTAGGGTTCTTGGGAATTGGTTGGGTTAATTTTCAAATTGAAGGAAAGAATATGATTTCCAGCCGATCTTTTTGATTTGTAAAAGATTTTTGTATCAAGGTAAGTTATGCTAATTTTTGGCAAACCCTAAATTTTTATTTGGGATTTTTGAATAAGTATAATTAGGAGAAATGATTATGATGATGGAATATTAACTTCGAAAAATGAATTTGTGGAATAAGATATAAATTAGATTGGTGCATGTGAGAATTCGAATTTCACTAGATTAGAAGAAAGTATTGTTTTTATGTTTGGGAGAAAGGTAATTCCGATAATTTAAAGATTAGTGAAAGGACTAGAAAGTAGAATTAGTTCCAATTGTGAAGGAGATTAAAGATTATATTCAAGTTCCAAGACGTTAAGTTCTAATATTTCATAGTTAAATGTTAAGAATATTTGGAATGGTAGTTGTTAGATGGGTTATTTGGTATCATATTTAAGGTAATGACGAGGAAATTGGAAAAAATTATCGACCTTCATAGCCTATAGCTTGACTTGTAAGTGGATATAAACCTATTTTTCAGAACTTAGTATTTAATAAGTTTATATTAAATCAAAAAATTTATTATTTCATATAGTTGATTTGACAGCATGATTTTCAGAATAAAGTGGATTTATAATAAGTTATTTTTAAAATTAAATTCAATCCAATTAAATCATTTTGATTAGCATGTTATATGAATATTAAATATTTCAGCATATTTAAAGTTATTTTTAAAACTACCATAAAGTACTCAGGTGATTTTACCCTAATTTACACTGTAATGAATGTGTTTCAACAGTGTATGACCACATATGGTTATTTCACCCATTCTGCACTGGTGCGAATATGTTTCCAACAATATATGATCAGTTATAGTTATTTTACCCGTTCTGCATTATTATGAATGTGTTTCTATAGTTTATGATCATATTATAGCCTTTGGGTAGCTCTGCGCGTGCATGACTAGAATTACAGAATTTTAGATTTTCAGAATATAATAAATTTGTCGTCTAAGTCGGTATTAATCGATACATGAGTAAGGTTATTTTGGGTACCTTTTTTGTGTGATTTTCAGTAAGTTACAAGTTATCAATTTTCAGATTACAGAATTTAGTTACTTCAATTTAAAGAATAAAGATTTTAACTTATAGTACCGTAAAAGGATATTTTTATTATATATTAGTTTTTAGAAAGTTGGCATAAATGAAAAATATAAACTTATTTGCGAAATATCTACTTACTGAGTTGTAGGCTCATACATTTTTATCACCATTTTTCTTATCAGATAGTAGTTGAGTTGAGCAGCGTTGGAGCCCATTGATCTACCGAGTTGAGCCATACATTGTCAATCGTTATATGTTTCATCTTGTTAGTTCATATAGTTTATGTTTTTGGGATTCTTGCATTTTTTGTCAGAAAGGCATAAATTGTAAATTATTTATCCATGTTATGGGCCTGTTGTGTTTTGTATATATTATGCATTTGGGAACTTTTGTTTGTAAATAATTGCAAAGGTCAAATTGTCAGTGTAGTATTTTGAATAATTGTGTTTTGAGGGGTTAGTGTACCCTATTTTAAATTACATATACCTGTTTGGAAAATTTGATTATACTTCAGAGGATTTTAGTTCATATTTCGGAGGAAAATCTATCAAATTTTTTTATAAAAATATGTCAATTAAAGCAGGTCAAAATTGTCTTGGTGGTGGGTCCGACTGTAGCTAGTATCTATCATCGACGTACGATACGTCGGGTTCATTAGAATGATTCGGGACAGGTCGTCTCTGTTTACACTTTAGCTGCATCATTTATCACTCTCTTGTTTATTTTACACGTGAGAACTTGAATGTAAATGTCAACACGGCATGGCCTCTCTTTTAACATTGTGCTGGACCTAAGGTTCCGTGTCAAATGCACATTGGGCAGTATTAGATTGGGTTATTATTCGATCTTCCTTTCTTTCCCATGGCAAACTTGATTTCTGCTACATGATTAATGCGATGTAATATCCTTTTATTACTTCTAATGACTAGAATTTTAAGTTTTAAAGTATTTGACCCAATGAACACTCACAGGATTTTCTCACGAACTTGAAACAGCAAAGTTTTGCCTCCAATGATATTTACAACGTATAATGTTGACCATCAATGCTTAAATCAGCACTCAACAAATCTAAGAATAAAACTACTATGTTGCCCACATGTCACGCCTCACAAGGCAAAGAATTGCACGCATAGACAAGGTTCAATGCCTAAGTTTGCTCGCCCCATCAAGCACCGTGTACACAAGAAGTTACCAATCCCAAGCCAAAATAGGGTGCAAGATATGTACTTCAACCAACTTTGCAACCAATAGGGAAACGGTAAAGAGATTTGGCGGTTCATGTTGGCAAAAAGACCGTATTGACAAGGGATCGAAACATACCGTCGGAGTTCGCAATACAGCAACAAATCGTGGTTGACGTCTTACTCAGTAGCAAAGCTAGGAACTTAATTTATGAAGTCGGAGGCGCAAAAAATCAATGTTATTAAACATGGCTCAAATCGACAGGTCAGGTCTGACGACTCTCATTGAAAAGGACCAATTTATTGGAATGCATTTGACTCGGTCATAACTGGGCTTTGACTAGGACAACCAGCAATTTTATGTTAAACCTGTTGGCCCAGTTGATTGATTTGACCGAATTTCAAAATTCTCATCTAAAATTGAGATAATTACGCAACTACAAAGATATCAAGTAACATTTTCTAAACTAAATAAACTTGTAGTTTTTTTTTTCCAAAAATCAAGTGGTCACAATTTGTGACCTGATAAAAGTTTGGTCACATTTTGTGAACTTCGATAAAATTTTGTAAAAAAATAATTTAATTAATCAGGCTACGATCACAAGTCACACATAATTTATGGGGAAATTTCATTTGTAACCGGGCATGTAAATGCTGGGAACAAGTAGCTCGGTCATAATTTATTATCACAGTCACAAATTAAAAATTTGTGAATTACAATTATGAATTTAGTCACAAATTACACATATTTTAAGTTACATATTATTTATTTGTTATAAATTACTCATTTTATTGATCACAGTTACCCAAATAATTGGACACAAATGCTCTTTATTCCACCCTACTAGTCTACCACCGTTGGCATTACTCAATTGCCACTACCACACCATCATCGGCACCATCCAAACGCTACTGTCACCTCTTCACCACTACCAAGAATCACCACCACTGTCTCCCAGTCTCCCTAAAATCGCCTTCGACAATCATCTGAAGCAATTACATGTTGGAAAACAAGGAGTAGAACTATGGGATCTACATAGGGGTGCACAACATAGCCAAGAGGCACAATGTAGGGACATTGGCATGTAGCACCATCGCCATCGAGGGTGTCAAACTTGGTTCACGTTGGCCGTCACGACTTCAACGCCTTCAACAGCCATAGATCTACATCTCACTTATGCTTTCGCATTTGACAACCATGGATCCACTTTCACGCTTACAACGAGGAAGAGGAGGACAGTGGCGGCCAACGATCATTGGCTTAGGATGTGGTGATCGACTGTTTGGGACTATAGGGAAATTTTGGGAGGAAATGAATTTGAAGTTAAGGTTAGTGTAGGGAAGGGGTACACATGATTTTTAAAAAGAAAAAATTCTAGTATCTAATTGTTGAAAAAAGAAGTTGAAAATAGGTGCATCTAATTTTTCCTTTAAAATTTTTGGGTCCAAGTAAAATGATTGACTCCTTACAACTAGAACTCACAATAGTTTATTTTTACTTTTGTGTAATATGTCACAAATCATTTATAATTTTCCAACTATATATTTAAAATTGTTATTGTCCACCATTTTACTTTATTTAATAGACTTAAATAATTAGTAATAAATAACTTAAAAACATTAATTTTGCCTAAAAAAAATTTATACTTTAGATGTTTTTTAATAACTTTAAATTAATGACCAACTGATCCACCTCTTCAACTACAACTTGAGACTCAGTACCTCGCCCAAGTCAATGTGAATCTAATAACTTTGTAAAAAAGTAGAGGTATTCCTCCATATTTAAAACTAGTCATTAGTTCCTTCTATTCAGCACTGGACTTAAATAGAGGTTTGTACTTTGTGGACCAACTATAGGGCTACCAAAAAAGGCAAACTTCCACATCTCTCTTGTAGCTGTAGGGGACGGCAATTTACTTCTTGTATATTATTGCACCGTTTAATAAAAAAGAAAAAAGGTTGAACTCTAACCTTTAGGGCCCCCACTTCCCCGCCCCTAGAACTTTGTGAAGGAGGTAAATCGCGAGATGTGCCCCAACAAGTCAGGGAACAAGAGCTGTCTGTACACTACTCCTACAAGAAGTCCAATTCCATGTTTCAGGAATTGAACCCTCACACTGTGGCTGCCAGTAAGGCGTGTGATAATATTGCACCGTTTAATATCTATATTTTCTTTTGTACACGAAAAAAAATGTTTTTTTAATTTTAATAAGTTTTCATAATATTCTCTTGTTTTTTATAATGTTAAAAGTGTGTATAAAAATTTAGTTTGTGACTTTTTTATTTATTATTATTATTATTTTTTTGGGCAATAATGTGTCATTTTTTACTCTAATGGTTAGATTACTTGATAGTTCTTAATTTTCATTCATACTCAACTTTAAATGCAATCTTAGCATTTGTAACAAATGAGCTTATTATGTCTATCATATCAAAATTGTCTAATAAAACAATTTAGCTAAGTAAAAGAGAAATAATCTTATCTTCAAATGGAGGATTTGAATGTCATTACAACTGTTCAAACTCAAAGAAAGGACGTAAGAGAGAACTATATATTACTATCGTATTTATATGAATTACATGCAAAGAACTACTCTATGGTTTATGCATAGCATACAACTATGAAACAGCTTCATAAGATTAATAATGTTTCTTTGTTGACAATCAAATGAAAGACACCCCAAAAACAGAACAACAAGGTTGCAGTCTTGTGGACATGCTTTCTACTGACACTTTAACGTTGTAATAGTTACATCATTGGTTGAGTCGATCTAAGTCCTCATCATCAAACTGAGTATGTTTCATTTTCAACATTGGTGGTGGTAATGGTTGTGGCAACAACGGAACTTCTCCTTCCAACATCTCAAGTACTGATTGCATTGTTGGTCGATCATCTCGTCGTTTTTGGACACATAAAAGTCCAACTTGGATACATCTTAATGCTTCATCTGCTGGAAACTCACCCTTCATTGATTTATCTAATAATTCTAATGCTTTTCCTCCGTTCCACGTCTTCCAGTCCTGAACAGTTACTAAATATATAACAACTCATTTCTTAGTGTATAATTTGGTGACATCAAGTATTACGTACGAGAATAATCTTAAAGTTAGTTCCTTTACTTACACAATACATAAGGTCAGGAAAAGAACTAATGCTTCTTCCACTCACAATCTCTAGGACAAGAACTCCAAAACTAAACACGTCTGACTTAATTGAGAATATACCTTCCATGATATATTCTGGAGACGTATAATCACTGCATACAAATATTGAACAAATTACACAAATTAGTGTGCTACTTTAGATGGAGGTAGAGTTAAAAGCACGCATGGTTGTCTTGATACTTACTATGACCCAAAAATCCTTGAGGTACTCGTTTCAGTTTGATGTTCTTCTAAAGTTCTAGCTATACCGAAAGCTGAAATTTTAGGCTTCATCTCTTTGTTGAGTAAAATAGTACTTGCTTGGATACATCTGTGAATAATTTTCAATCCTGAATCTTGATGAAGATGAAGAATTCCACGAGCAATATCAATAACGATTTCGAAACGTATGGTCCATCCAAGTTTATGTCTTGTTTCACCTGTCTCATTTCAAGTCAAGTTAGCTCATATATGTTTATCAGTATTTAAGTAATGTAGAAGTAAGAAAATTATATTCTAGAATCTAAAGTGTAGTCTTTGGAAAATGAGAGGCTGACTGGAATCTAACCAAATAGGCAAGCATTTAGAGATTTTTTCTCCATGAGCTCATGTACAAGCATCCTTTCTTGTCCATGAAGACAATATCCAAGTAGTTTAATGAGGTTTGGATGCTGAAGTTTGGAAAGCAAAAGAACCTCATTTTTAAGAACACTGTCGGCTTGGTAGGAATTTGATGAAAGCCTTTTAACAGCTACTTCCTGTCCTGTAGATAACAGACCCTACACCGATAGAATAGCATTAGCAGAAAGATTGAACTTCACATCACCGTCTTAATTTCCTAGCAAAACAAGGTAAAGCAAACCTCACCTTATAAACAGTACCAGATGCACCTGCTCCAATTTCATTTGGAAGCGAAAAGTTATTAGTTGCAGCTGCAATTGTAGCCAGATCAAATCTATGCGATTCAACTTCCTGTCCAAAATATTCTGCAAGATAATTCCTTCATTTATTGTGAGACTTAAATTAGATTGAACCTAGTGCTATTCAAATTTGGACTTTGACTAATAAATAAGTTTGCTCAAGCTTGACTGTCTTAATTATCAAAGGAACCAAGCTTGACAGAAATAATTTACAGTGATCTGCCAGGCTCAATTAAGAGCTCAATTATGAGGAACGTACATACAATGTTTATTACTAGATAAATCTCAGAAGACATCCATTAATGACAGAAATCACTATTTCTCAACTAAAACAACAACAAAATATAAAAGTTTTACTTCCAAAAAATTTGGGATCATATGAATCCTTTTTTGGTGCTCCTTTTCATTTCTACATTTACTGAAACATCAAAAAATGAGATGCATTTTGATAATAATATCTGAGACATTTGCATTCACACAAACACACAGATAGAACTTATAAGAAATAGATGTCTCAGACAAGCCTAAGATTAATTTCAGGCTTGGCTGCTCCAATTATAAATGTTTCTACGTACGCTTTATCGTAATGAATCCACAAGGTAAACAGATAACAGACCACACGACAAGAATATATAGTATATTAAACTGCATCTATTTCTTCTTATTGAGCTTTGGGTGAGTTTCTGAGACAACCACTTGAAATCTCTTCCAATTACGAAGTTATTATCAAAGTTGTGTGCGGTCATTCAATACCTGGTATTGATAATTGGCTTTTCTTTGTTATGTTTGCCCTTTTCCATAATGCATTCCATGGCAAAAACCGTGGTAGCTTATAAGCAGTTTTGTTTCTCTTATACACTTGTGCTTCTCTGCCGGATGGCTCAGCATTCTGAACCATTTTGCTTCTTTCAGAAAGAGAGAGTGGCATATTCTGCTCATCCACAGAGGACTTTTCTTCTATCTCGGCGCTAATTGAATGGAGAGTTTCCCCAGCACAAGACACGACACTATCAGAACAGGCTATCTCTGGAGCAGAAGATTTTGAGCTTTCCAGCTGCTCCAGTGCAGACTCAAGTTGTACCACAACTTGAGCCATTGTAGGCCGTTTATTTGGTTCATCATGCAAGCATCTTTTAGCAACTTCAAGAAATGTCATCAGGCTCTCTGGTGATATTTGGGCCTCAGACTTGGAGCAACAAGCTGATCAATTACTCCTTTGCTGATGCAATCTTGAGCCCAAATGGTGAGCCCCTGCTCATCCTCTTTGACTCTTCGATCCAGTGCTGGTCTTCCGCACAATACTTCCAACAACACAACCCCAAAGGCATATGTGTCACTCTTCCTTGTCAACCTACGGGTTCTGAAATAGTCTGGGTCAAAATACCCAAATGTACCTTTAACGTTAGTGCTGACATAGCTTTGCACCCGATTTCTCTTTCGAGCTTTGGCCAACCCGAAATCTGAAATCTTAGACTCCAAATTTTCATCCAGCAGGATGTTTGAAGCCTTTATGTCACGGTGTATGATTCCTTGATCATTGCCAGTGTGAAGGTAGTCTAATCCTCGGCCTACCCCAGTGCAGATCCTCAGTCGCTGCTCCCAAGAGAGAGAGGAGTGATAATCACTCTCTCCACCGAGTCCAAAGAGATTGTCAGCCAATGTACCATTAGGGACATATTCATAGAGAAGGATCATTTCTTGGCACTCATTGCAGTATCCGATTAAAGAAATGATATTAGTGTGTTGGAGCTTCGAAAGGGTTTCGACCTCTGTCCAAAACTCACGTGCCCCTTGCCTGGAATTTGATTTTAATCGTTTTATGGCTACAATCTTTTGCTCCTTACTAATAAATCCTCTGTATACTTTGCCAAATCCACCCCTCCCAGTTACAAGTGCATCATTGAAGTTCTCAGTAGCTGATTGGATCTCAGTAAGTGAAAAAGGACGACATAGTTTTTCAGTCAAGCCTGATGGTTTGCATCCAGAGTCAGTACAGTTATCTTCCCAAATTTTCCGCAACTTATAAGTAATGATGTTGACTAGGGAGATTATAATTACTGCACCAGTAGCAATTGCATTTCCATGACCAAAAAATGACAGTAAATTTAGCAGTGTAGCGGATTTTGAAGATCGTCTGGGAGGGGAGGGGTTTGGACTTGCAAGACTATTATCGTGGTTGCTCAACTTCAATATCTCCAATCCTCTGAAGAGTTCACTTACCAATTCATCCTTTAACTGCAGGGAAATTGATAGATCACGCCTGCCATCTTCTTTGTTTCCTTTCACCATCACCATATAGTCTCTGTGCAAATGGATTCCACTGACGACGCTCCTCTCTTTGCCAATATCAACATTAGTTTCTGCAATCATGTCATTTATGGAGACACTGAATACGCTGTTTCTAGTCTCTGCCATCTGAAGTCCCCTCTAGCAGAAATGAAGCCTCCTCTCGCAGAAATGAAGCCTGAGCAAGTATCCGAATCCAACATCCACGGACGTTTTCCAGGTAAAATCTTTGATCTTTTCATCTGGAACTGTTGCCCATTTCCCAAACATGCCAAGATAAGGAATAGGGTCCCATTTGAAATTTAATCGCTGCATAATTTCAAGCGCAGTGCTCTTATCAATATAGAATCGAGATTTTTGGCCAACCACTCGGGCTCCAAGATCATCATCATCATGAGAGTAATAAAGATCACTAAGCATGGATAATACCTCTATTCCATTTATAAAAGCATAAGTTTTATCAGATTGACTGTGTTCAGGAGAGAAAATTATACTCAGAGGTTGATTCTGTTCTATATTCATGCAATACTACTTAACCAAAGACTTCACGCCGAGGGCATCAGCAGTTAGTGAAGCACTAAAGTTTCTAAGGAGGGTGAAAGCCCCAGTTTCGACAGTGAACAAATCCTTAAATTTTTTGTAACGTCGGTAAGAAGCCAAACTGAAGTGAAGACGAATAAGTTTCTGACCTGGACTAAACGTGTAGGAGAATTGCTTGAAAGAGATTCGAGCTGTCTTGTAGGGAATGGGATCTGTTGAAACGAAATTATGGAAGGCAGTTGAGGCGGTGGATGAGCCTTTTATCACAAGTGAGGAAGTAGATTTTGATTCTGTTATATCTCCAGTCCATTCTTTGTTATTGAAGGCGGTTGAAATGCCAGTTGAACCACAGTTAATAGCTATATCCCCTGTGGGGTAATTATCTGCGGAATGAACTGCTAAGGTGCAAAGAAGAGGATAAAGGAAGAAGAAGACTAGATTAAACATTTGGGATAAACTGGAGGGAGGGGATGCTGATGACATGTTTGGTATAGAAATGGATGGCGTTGAGGAAAAGAAAAAAAGCTCAAACTTTTCCAGTCCTCTCTGCTAAAGAAAGGCAACAAGCAGTTTGTTTTGTCAAAGTCAATTCTCCCCCGCAATTGCCTGGTAACTTCAAAGATGATTGCGCTAATAACGACGAAGACAAGTCATGGTCCTACACATTTCCATAAAATTAATAGTTGGGGGACTATGTTTAAATCTGTCTTACCCTTGCTTATCTTTTATCTTATTTATTTATTTATTCATTTTTTTTTGCTTTTGAAGTTAATCTCAATAAAACGGCTCTTTCAAAATTCATAACAAAAATTATTATTTTGAACTACTTTCAATATTTTATATCCAGGGTTAACATATCTTATACTTTTCTTCATATAATTATCTCTTTATCTTTATTGTTTTCTTGTCAGACGACCTTATACACCAACTAAATATTTTCTTCACTTTCCAAAAATTTATTCAATGTAATTCTCTTTCATGAATACTTAATACTCAAATAAGTCAACACACTAATATCACCTTCAAGAAAATTCAAGCCATGCACTGCATGACCAGAAACTAGTGTTAATAAAAGCATTGATGGAATCGTGAAAAGAATAAAGGTAAAAAGTAAAAATCGTTCAATAAAAGTATTGCACACCTTGAGGGCTGCCCTTGCGATACTTTGACAATGTAACCTCAATTTGACCCCTATTTTAGTAAGAAAATGTGTTATAGGATAGTGATTTTTTTTGAAAAATGCATGATTGAATTTTTTTTATTTGTGTAAATTATTTTATGGGAAAATATGGTTGAAAATTAGTTTTAAAAAAATGGGTTTTTGAAAAATTAGGGGCCAAACATAGGTAAATAAAATTTCATTTGAAAATTTGACTTAATCTATGATTATTAATAATTCTATAAATTATTTGAGCAAATTAAAATAATTAACCACAATTTATTTCTCACTCAAAATTTCTATTTATTTATTTTTTGAGAATAAAATTACTTTTTCTAGAATTATACATCATCATGGGAAATCCACTTTTTGACATATATATTATATTAAAGTACACCATATAAATAGAAAAATATCAGGACTTAAACTCTTCATAAATATTTGTATAGTCTTGTCATTAAGATTATTAATATTTAAATATGTTAATTGAAAAAACGTTATTGATATTTCACAAAAATTTAAAAAAATAATCAAATAAAAGATAAAAATGTTAAGGGCTCACCAATTTCGTCAAATTAATTGTGTCTTCACTGGGTTTGCCTGTAACAAAAAATGGAATTTTAATTAAAGTTGTCTTACTTTCAATAAATTTGGAATTGATTATATATACATATTAGCATGATTTTAATAGTTTAATACAGCGATTAATTTTTTTCTCCTAACAAATATAAGAAAAATTATTTTTTTTCTCCTAAACAAATGCTTATGGAGACAATAATATCCTGAAATCTGTAGGGTTATGACAATTTTTGGGACAATTTCAATACATCAAGAACAATTGAACATTGTTCTTATGTGGAATATCTATTAAACAACTTTATTTTGCTTAAATTATGGCATTAATACGAATTCAATGACACTTTATTCCCAAATCCCACCTCCCTCATACGATATGCTTAGCATATTCTTCCAAGAGTTTATGATATGGACCATGCTATCTTGACAGTGAGGCCTGATAGACACTCGTAATGGGAGGGGGGTGAGTGTACTTTTTTTGCATTTTTCATTCACGTCGGTCCCATCGCATGTGAGTGAATGTCAACAAAGATGTCAACATTTTTCTAACAAATAAGCTTTATTCTTATGATAGGCTAAATATACCCTAATCATACATGCTCAGATTGTATTATTAGCATAATTAATTATAGTATATGTATTTGTCATTTTAATATTGATAGATGGGTAAAATTGTCATTTTACTTGTATGGATATTTTAGACCTTTTGCTTATTAGACTTAGGGTAAATATATTCACACCACAAATTTTGTTAACTACGCTACATTTTAATTACAATGCATACATCTAATTTTTTCTTATTTTTACACATGTTTTCAACTTTTTTCTTTTCTAAATTTTTATTATCAACCTTCTATTAATTTTGGAAAATTTTATTTGTACATAATTATTGCACATAATGATGTTCATAATGTGATGTGACAATCATCCGGTTGTTGATATGCAAGTGTGAGATTTGAATTAAAGGTTGGATGTAGTGTCACGTGTAATTATAGACACAATTATGTAAACAATTATGTACATATAGCACTTCCCATTGATTTTTATGTCTTCTCTATAGAGATAGTTTTCATCCAAAATATTTGCTACAAGGTCCAAAAAGGCACATCCCTCTCTCTCTCTCTCTCTCGTATTTTTAAATAATCGAAATAGATAATTTATACAAAAGTCAAGCAAATATTTGTCCATCTTTTCAATGCACATTAGTAGCATATTTGGGTGAAAAATCGTGATTAGAGATAAAATATGTTAATTAATTAAGGTTAAAAATAACAATTCGATGAGAAAAAAGTTGACATAAAAGTAAAAGTGAGCAAATATTGAAAATATTTCTTGTAAATAAAATGTGGTATAGTTATAAAAAAAAATGTTGTGTGAATATAATTATCCACAGAGTACTTAAACCTCTACAATAAGCATTTTGATTATATGAACCCATAGCCATTTTCGCTCTCCTTCTTTTCATTTTGCTTAATTACAAGATTCACATGTATTGTTGTTATTCTATGCTTGACATAATTTATAATATAGATATGTTTATCTTCTGATCTAACACATTTTTATGCATTGAATTTTGTACACATTTATATCTCATTCCTAAAAAAGTTTTAGTGGACAAAAATATATAATGTATATATAACAAGGTTGTAATATATACAAGTGGCTTTTATATTAAAGAAAAGAAAGAAATTGTGTACACTCTACTTGACATAGTTAAGAAAAAGATACATGTTGACCTCGGAAATTGGTCCTTCCACGTGGCCAACTGAAAGCTACTCCACGTATTCCTCCCTGCGCACAATCAGCAAATGGTCAGGCGCACACGGCCGGAACCAACGGGGGTGGTGGCGGCCGTATACACTCCGATGGTCAAGTCAGGTTTGGGTGATCGGAACAGTACCCAGGGGGTATGCAAATCAATCAATAAAGGGGGAGAAGAATACATAAACTTGTTATGGAGTGCTGTGTATTAAGATTTTCAGTACCTTTGCCTCTTGCCAAACCTTGGGTATTTATAGGTGGTATGAACCGTTGGATGTGGAACGCGTGTATACATCTGACGGTATGAAGCGTCTGCTCATAAGCGTCAATCAGCCGCATTTGTAGAGTGGGCGGACAGTTTGTTTCCTCTGAGTTGAATTGACATAAAGTTGATAAGTCACATCAACTAGCCTCATGGAGACGTCAAATCAATTTAAGCCTTAGGTGTAGGACAAATTTCAAATTGGCGGCGGATCTTCTAACCGGGGTCCACTTGATCTCGATCTCAGAGGTGAGATGCTTCGACAGATCAGTAGTAGGAATCGATATATCACTTCGGAGAAGCTTCGGAAGGGTCGTTTTCAGGTCGGAATAAATGGTGCTGCGGGGGTCCACTTGATCTCGGCCTCGGAGGTGAGATGACACTTCGGTATCCGAGGCGTATATAATTGGAGCATAACAGTGGTTTCCTCTAAGTTGAATTGACATAAAGTTGATAAGTCACATCAACTACCTCATGGAGACGTCAAATCAATTTAAGCCTTAGGTGTAGGACAATTTTCAAATCGACGGCGGATCTTCTAACTGGGGTCCACTTGATCTCGACCTCGGAGGTGAGATGCTTCGGCAGATCAGTAGTAGGAATCGCTATATCACTTCGGAGAAGCTTCGGAAGGGTCGTTTTCAGGTCGGAATAAATGGTGCTGCGGGGGGTCCACTTGATCTCGGCCTCGGAGGTGAGATGACACTTCGGTATCCGAGGCGTATATAATCGGAGCATAACAGTGGTCCCCTAAGTCCGGGGATGAATATTTATATCATGCGTGGACTTGCTTTCCTGACCGGACCGCAATTCATGGGAGTTTTGGGGGTTGATCCGTCGCAGCAATCGAGGTTATGATAATAGGCAGATGTGCCAAAGCTTCATTATTGTGCGTAACATTCGAGGCGGTCAAGCAGCATGGGACGTCGCGTAAGGTGCACCGAAACTTCGCGAATATGGTGCGCTGACCCCACAGACCGACGCGTTAGGAGAGGGCTGAAACTTTGTAAAGCATGGGAGGGGACGCAGCGTTCGAGGTGATGCCCCAAAAGGGCCTTCGCGTCAGGTGCGTCTAAGCTTTGTAAAGTTAAAGGAGGAGCTCA